CAATTATAACTATCAGTGTAAATGTGCTCAACTTGCCCATCAAGAGACATAGTTGAATAGATCAAGAGCCAAAATTTGATGGTATGCCATATACAGGAAACACATTTAACACAAAAGGAAATTTATAGACTAAAAAAATCAAAGGATATATAATAATATTTCATGCAGTGGGAACCTCAAAACAAGCAGGGGTATCTATCATATTTTTAGGCTAAGTAGATTTCAAGCCAAAGCTGATTAAGCAGCAAAAAAAGATATTACATACTGGTTGACAGAACTACTCAACAGGAAAAGATAATTATAAACATACATACACCAAACCTTGGTGCACTCAATTTCATAAAACAAACACTAATGGACGTAAGAGACCAGATAAACATCAATGCAAATACAGTGGAAGAATCTCAAAACCTATAACAAATAGATAGCTAAATTAAGGAAGCAGAAAAGGGATCTGATGTAAGAGCCTGGTTTGGAAGTTGTTTTGTCTTAGAGCTTGAAACATTTCACTATGTTCTGTTTGTCTTTAAGGTTTTGTTGATAAGGGGTAGTTTATTATGTCAGCCCTCTTGAAGCTGAGGTAATAATCTGGAGATGGGAAGCCAATCTACTGTGGGTAGCACAGTGCACTTAGGGAGTTCATATAGATTCTTGATGACATTGCTGAGACACTGAACCAAACTTAGGAGCCCCTACCACCCACTTGTTATAATAATAAATATATTTTGATTTAACTCACTATTTTTTTCTTCTGTAAGTTTTATATTTTCTATAGAGGCAATACCGTTCCTGAAATTACTGATGGAGCCAGAAGCCCAGAACTCTCCATTCATATACAGTTACCCAGGGACACAGGTAGGAAAGGAGCACAGCATGGTCTGATTCATCCTGGGCTCAGAAATATGGTTCTCTTTTTAAAAGTAATAGCAAGCAGAGGCAGACAGGGCCTTCTTTTCATGAAGACCTTTGTAAACTTGGAAGTGTAAGCATCTTCTTACAATTTCATTGTTTTGGTAGCTCCAAGAAACAGCATCTTAGACAATGACTTTAGAGCTTCAGTCATCACAGAAGCAGGTAAGACAGGAGATTTTGTTACAGAACCCACATGGCTCAGTTTCTAAAGGCTTCCAGAACTAACAGGAAGAAAGTCTGAAGAGAAAGCTTATGCCAGACAGGTAATGGATATCATTATGAATTCATCTGTTCCCAAAGATAGTGAAACCTGTGATATTTGTGACATGCTGTGACATATTTGTGTAAACTATGGGTTTACAATGGCCACCTTGGAATCTGGGGTGGAAGTTTGAAAAACAGCTGTGCAAGGGACAGTCAGGATCGACTCAAAGCTTGAAGGCCCAGCATTCACTGAAGAGTCTAGTACAATTCTGTGTTGCAAAGCCAAAGGTTCTGCACTGAAAGGCTGAAGAGTTTGTGCTGAAAGGCTGCAGGAGCTAGAGCTAAACACCAAAAGACAATGACGAAGCAAGGAAGCAAAAGGGAAGACTTCCTTCTTTCCCTTTTTATGGCATACAGGTTGTAAGCCTATTGGCTGGTGCCACTCACATCCAGAGTGGGTTTTCCCTCTTCAGTTCGAGGCCAACATGTCAATCATCCAGACATACCCAGAACTGTACTCCATTAATCCATTAGGCATTTCTTATTCCCTTCAAGTTGATGTCATGGTTAACTATTACAGTAAAGCTTGTAATTTTTATTTATTTAAAAATATTCCAGGCAACATAGAGCTCACTTTATTCTGCAGGCACCACATGCTAAACTCAGTATCTCCTTCTAAAACTACAGCTGAATGTACTTTTTATTGTCAATGCTAGAGCATTTCAAGCTCCACTCATGTGAGTAAACTAGGTAAGAATATATTCAAGGGTACCTCCAAAGGTACCTCAATTTTGTGTTAAACTGGGAGTTTGTGATGTGGCCTATATCCTTGTCATAGGATTCCTATAGTTGGTGGTTTTCAAATGCACCCCCTTCCCTTTTCCAGTGAAAATCTACCACAGAATTTATATTAAATGGATCAAGGCAGAGCAGGTCCAAGAAAGGCAGATGAGCCCGCAGTCCCACACTGGTTGGACCAGAAATACCTGTGTTCTAAATTTGGGGAAAGTTTGAGGAAATGTCCTTCTGCATCTATTTTACTTTCATCTCTTTATTTGGTTGTTACCATACAGATGTGGCTTGACACTGTTTGCTATTTGCCTGTAAAGCTGAATCATGCTTCACTGTGAAATATTAGAAATAGAGGGATTTCCCAATCTACGTTCACTCTGGGTGAGGATTTCTAAGGCAATACCACCCTCCCCTCTTTTGTAGGGTGGAAATGGGAAAGTTTATCTTCGATTTCTTATGTAACAATGATTTTAAAGTAATAGGATTTCCATATACATAGATGGGAGACTCAGAGGTTCTGGCTACCATGATGTCTTTTTGTATACTGGCTGTGTCATCCCTCTGGGATTGAGAATTTCTCCAGAAAAGATCATTTTTCACTCATTTATATTCCTTGCCATTCCTAGCCTAGAGCAGGTGTTCTAAAAGGTCTTGGCAAATCGAATTGGAAAAAGAGAGCAAAGGGCAATACAGAATTGAATTGTTCTCCAAAACACCTGCTTCTACGTACATAAGAAACATTTTAAAACATTAGGATTAATAATTTGTTTTGCTTGGATGTGTTTTTAGAATCAAATATGGATTTCTTAATTGTTCGTGTAAGACTACAAATTGTTCTATTTTTTTAAAAAAATGGCATTAAACCTCTTTCTGTGAAGATAATTATGCTGGGCATTATTATTTGTGTTGCTATGTTTATTTAGTTACTTTCCATGTCAAGAGTAGTGGGTATTATTTTTAATAATAGTGGATATTATTGTTCAAATACTTGTTTCAATATTCAATTCATTAATGTTTATTAATATACCAATACTAGGGCACATTTGCTCCTCATAATATACCCCCAGTTGATATTTTACCATCTTGTTGGGATGAGAAAGCTGAAACTCCAAGGTGGAAAGAGTTGTGCAATTCGTACGCTACATGCTAGGAAGTGTGGATGGAGGGTTCTCAGACTACAGACACGGCCTTTTCTCCTATTTCACAGCTTCATCTTTTTCCTGACTATGCTCTAGGATCCGTCTTAACCTAAGCAAGCTTCTTTATCTCTTAGTTCTTAGTACCCTATTTTCTAGTCTCAAAAGGAAGTTTCACCCTAATATTCTTTTTTTTTTTCCTTCCTTTCCCTCCACCTTGGTTCAAGGTGAGGTTTGTCTTGGAGATTCTTGGATGTGTGCATTAAAACCATGGGGGGACTGTAAAGGATGAAGGATGTTGGGTATGTGGTACATGCACCTGGGAGGCTAGGAAGGAGGATGGTGAGTTCAAGGCCAGCTTGGGCTATCTAGAGATACCATGGCTGGACTGGACTATACAGCAAGGTACCATCTCACTCCCCTCCAAAAATAATGTTTGGAAGAGCCCAACTCCTTCTTTTCATTCTTTTCTTTTCTTTTCTTTTCTTTCTTTCTTTCTTTCTTTCTTTCTTTCTTTCTTTCTTTCTCTCTTTCTTTCTTTCTTTCTTTCTTTCTTTCCTTCTTTCTCTTCCTTCCTTCTTTTCTTCCTCCCTCCCTCCCTTTTTTCTTTCTAACAAACTTGGCCCGATGTGTTATGTAGAACCTGTGTTTATCATTATACTATCCCAAATGGTGATGTTATGAATAGCAGAGGGTGGTGCATAGATTGTGTGTGTGGAATCCCATCCTTTGGAATTCATACAAGCTATCTACTCTGGTCCTTTGTTATTTGGGATGTAGCCTTTGGATCGCTGATTGTAAAATCTCCTGGGACTTGTCAGAAATTCAGAGTACCAGATCTCACCAGAGACCTAGTGAATCAGAATACATTTGATTTACCAAGATCTCTTGTGATGTCTAAGTACACAGAAATTCGATACAGTTTGTCTAGAGTACTTGTTCAACAATGTGGTGTGTTTTCCTGAAATGCTACTTTTGCTTTGCTTAGAATATATGTATAAACACCATTAAAATCTTGATTAACTTGTCAAAGCCATTCTAATGTGTGAACTATTTCTTTATCTTTTTTCTGGCTACCACTGACCTTTGAAAATGCCATTCTGTTAGTTAAATCAGTTACTTCTACTCCTAAAAGCTTTTATATATTTTCTTATAAAATGCTATATTTTATCAAGCCTTTGTGCTCACACAGTCCTTCACATGTAAATGCTCAATAAGTTGAAAGCTGTTTCATTATTCAATTATGAATAATTAATGACAGATTAAGTACATGAAAGAGGTGGATGTTACACGATTAGTTGCCTGAAGATTAGGGCAATGTCTTATTCATCACTAAATTGAGAATGTTTCATGGAAAATCTGTCATTATTTCTTAGTTAATCAGTAGCTGTTAGACGAAGAGACTGTCCACTTGTTCTTGGTGTATGCCTGCGGAGAACAGAAAAGGGAGAAAAATGAAATAAAATTGAACATACAATGCTAGGTACCTTCCCAATTTTTACCTCAGCGAATCATCACAGCATCCTGTGAAATGAGTTTATTTTATATGTAAAAGCCACGTTCTGAAATTTGAGTATTCGTCCAAGTTCACACAACTAGAGTCTGATAATTCTTACGTGTAATTTGCTGTACCATTGGTTTTATAGCACGATTTCTGCAAAGATTGGGAGGTGGAAGAGGAATGACCTTTTATGTGGTGCACACACACACACACACACACACACACACACACACACACACACACACGTACGCACGCGCGCACACACTCCTCTCTGAGCTCCCTTGCGCAGCCCAGGCGCTGCAGCTCTAGTGCCAAGAGCTGTTCTCCAGTCCTGGAGTAGGCGGAACAATGAAATGAAGCTACCTTCCTGCGCCGGTCTTTTCCGCCGGCGGAACGCAGGTGCCGGGGCTTCAGGCGCAGAGGGGGACTGAGAGAGAAGAACACACAGTCCGGCGGTTGCCTGGTAACGCGCGCTGGAGGAGTCCTAGCGTGAAAAGGTCCTGCGAAGTGTCCCTGGCCCTGAGTGGGACCCGGCCGCCCCTCGCTTCGCTCCGGCGGCCTGTCCCCGCGGCTTGGCGGGCTAGGGCAGGGAAATGTTGCAGGAGGAGTCCGATCTGTCTCTCATTATTGCCCAGATAGTCCAAAAGCTCAAGGGCTCCAATCTGTACGCCCAGCTGGAACGGCAGGCCTGGGTGAGTGGGGCCGAGCCGGGAGGGATGGAGCAGGGGCCGGGCGCTCTCGGCCCTCGCCTCGGCCCCCGCGGGGTCGCCCTGCTCGCTCCCGCCGCGTCCCGGCGCCTGAACTCCGGCTCCCCGACCGGCGCCGCGCCCTCGCCCAGCCCGAGTGGGGCGGGAGCTTTGTAAAAGAAGGGTGGGGCGCAGGACGCCTTTCTTCAGGCCGGGGAGACTGCGGCTGCGGTTTCACCTCTTTAATTTTGTCATTTCGGGGTCTAATTCTTTTAAACTGTTGTACATGGAACAGTTGTACTTGGAAGCAGCCTGGACCACGCCTTCTCTCACTTTTCCCATCCTAAGAGTGGATTTGGGCCCCTTGGCACGGTCGCACCCCTGTGTCACTTTGTTACCCTTTACCTTGGCTGCAAAGCTTTCTCCTCCACAGGCCACCCAGGTGGCACTGAATATTTTCTAATTACCAGGCACTGAGAATGTGTGAACTGATCAGATGTCCGATATTTTTCTTTTTAATGTCGTGTAACTGGAATTCTATAGTATGTAAACTATCGAGTAACCACATTTAGCATGATGCTTTTGAGATTAATCCATGTTGGTATTTCGGCAATTCTGTTCCTTTTTATTGCTGAATAATATTTCCTCATTGGGTTGCGCCACAGCTAGTTTATACTTGTGTTAGTTGATGGGTATTTGGGTAATATGGATTATGGTTAGAGCTAGTGTATACATTAGGGTATTTAGATTTTTGCTTGGTTGCATGAAAGTAGAATTGCACCTCGATGTGGCGGCACACGCCTGTGATCTCCGCACCGTGTGGTCTGAAGCAGGAGGATCTCAGTAAATCTGAGACCAGCCCGAATTACATAGTGTGACTCTGTCTCAAAAAACCAAAAAAGTGGAATTGCTGAATTGTGGTATAATTAATTCTATAAGAAACTGCCAGACTAAGTACCATTTATATCCCCATCAACAGTTATGAGCAGTCCAGTTGTTCTGTTATTCTCAGTAGCAACTGATACAGGTTTTTTTTTCTTGGTACGGGGAATCGAACTTAGGACCTGGAGTTTACCAGGCAAGCGCTGTGTTGCTGAGCTGTATCACTGGCCTTTCATTTTAAAAACATGTTACTGTTTATTAATTTTATGTTATACTTTTCTAGTAGGGGTATACAGTAGTGGTATCTCATTGCAACTTTACATTTCCTTAATGACTAATGATATTAAACATGTTCTCAAGCGCTTATATCCTTTTTGGTGAAATAATCTGTTCAAATCTTTTGCCCACTTAAAAAAGGGCGTTGTCTTTGTATTACTGGACTGTAAGTATTCTTTATATATGATACGTTTTCGTCCGATAGGAATTTTGCCATTATTTTCCCCCCAGACAATGGCTTATCTTTTCATTTTTTAAAATTGGGTCTTCCAAAGAACAAAAAAATTAATTTGAATAACATAAATTTTTAACGAACTCATTTTTTTATGATTTGTGCTTTTTGTGGCCTATCTAAAAGTCTTTACGTAATCCAAGGCCTCAAAATGTTTTTCATGCCTGTTTGCTGGTTTTAAAAGTTTTATGGTTTTAGTTTTTATATGTGAGTCTGTGATCCATTTTAACTTTTACCTCCTATACAAAAATAACTTCAAATGGATTTTTAGCTCAATTTTTTTTTGCCGTGTAGCTGTCTAGTGTTTCACTAATTCACAAACTTTTCCTTTTCCCACTAATTTCCTTGGCAACCCTGTTGAAATCATTTGCACATATATTTATGACTATTTCTGGCACTTTATTGGATTCTGTTGATCTATTTGTCTATCATTATGCCAGTACTGCCCTGCACTGATTTCTGTAACTATGCAATTTCAACCGTTGAAATCAGGTAGTCCTTATTTCCCTTTAAAAAAATTGTTTCTAAAATTTATATGGCAAAGTAAAGGACTTAGAATCAACTTTTAAATTACTACCAAACCTTTTGGAATTTGGAATGGGATTATGTTGAATCTGTGGATTAATTTGAGGAGAACTGATATCTTAACAATACTGAGTTTTCTGACCCATGAACGTGGTTTATTTCCTTTCTTATTTCTATCATCTTTTCTCTTGTTAGTATTTTGTAGTTTACTATCCAAGTCATGCACACTTAAGATTTTCCTCTCAGGAATTTCTTGATACTATTATAAATGATTTTCTCTTCATTTCAACTTTCAATTATTTTTAGTACACTGAGATACAATTGTTGCTAATACATTTAGCATCTATTGACTAAAAGACTGAGACCTTGCTGAAGTTTTTGTTACTAGTTACAGTATCATTTTGGTGGTATGGGAACTCTGTTGTACTTTCTGATGGAGAGCTTGCCCCAGACTCTTGTGCGTCTCCTAACTATCTGTTTTTAGTTAGTGGTAGGCATGTGGTAGGTTCAGCAGTTCTTTAATTCTTCTAATTCCATGTACCTTGTCCTTGAGGTGGGCTTTTATTACCACTGTCATGTTGCTTCCCCTCTCTTTTTGACAGCCAAGCATTGCTTTGTATCTGTGGCAGGTCTTTTGTACCTATGGAAGAAAGTATAAACCAAATATGAATTTCCTCGTTTGTTTTGTGCCCCCAACTGTTTTGAACTGACACTCGAGCCCACACTTACTCTGTAGCAGTTAACATTTTAGTTGATTTCTCCTGACTCCCTTGTATGGTAGCTTCCTTTTCCCCTTGTGAGGTGCCTACGGTAAAATAGTTTGAGGTCCTGTCTGACCTTGGAGAAATTTCATAATCTTTAGAATATCGCTTATTTTGTTGTCTTAACAGCTACAATTATTGGATGGGTTCAAAAGTTGTAATTTTATGGGTTATACTATTTTCCCTCATTGTTAAATGGTAAGTGACATTTCCTTGTAGTCACTTTCTACAATGGAGCTAGCTAAGCTCAAATAATGTTTAAGGATTGCATCTATATCATGGAAGAGATTGAGGTGTAATTTTCTTTCTTGTAATAGACCTGTCAAATTTTATATCAAGGCTATGCTGGCCTCATAAAATGAGTAAGCTTATATTTCTTCCTTTTTACTTTCTATTTTCTCCAAGAGTTTTTTGAGAGTTTTTTTTTTTTTTTTTTTTAATGTAGGGAAGAATTCACCAATGAAGGGTATGTCTAGAATTTTTCTGTTTAGGAAGATTTCTGAAATTTATATATTTAATTTTAAAGAATAGTATTAGGTTGACAGAAAATTTGACTAGGAAGCATAGGTTCTCATATTCCCACTTCACTTTGCGTGTACTTTCTTCTATTGTTAATTCACATCTTGGGTTTGAGTGTTGACTCAAACAGATTCATTACTATTCACTCACTAAAGTCTTTGCTTTATACTAGGGTTTATACTAGTCTTTGGTTTATACTCGGGTTCACTCTTTGTGTTGCACAGCCCAGGTTTGACAAATATATTACGTTATAAATTCAGTGTTCCAGCATCAAACAGAGTAGCTTCACTGCTCTAGAAATTCCCTGTGTCCCGTTCATCCTTCTCTTAGCCCATCTCTCAGACTTGCTACCAGTGCTCTTTTCATTGACTGTAAAATTTTGCCTTTAAGAATGATGTACATATACCTGGCACTTGGTTAGTGCTTAGCAAATAAGCCGTAACTTCATAAATGTCTTCATACTATATCAGTCACTTCTTTGTTACTGTAGTAAAATACCTGAGAGAATAAACTAAGAATGAGAAAAAAAGAACGTCATGTAATTGCAAGCATACAGTACATAGTATTTTTACTGGCTTCTTTAACTTATTAATATGAATTTCATGTTCTTTAATGTCTTATAATGACTTGATCACCATATTTTCTAATATATGGATAAATAATGGTTTGTTTATGTACTGACTTGTTGAACAGTAGTTTCATTATTTCCAAGTTTTGAGACCTGTGCATAAAGCTGCCATATGAAATAAACATGTGAAATAGTACACATGTTTAAATATCACATTCTTTCTCTTGTGTGAGAAATCAAAAATGTGCATAAGCACTGATATTGAGAAGATAGATTTGGGGAAGTAGGAAGAAAATAGCTAAATGGGAAGGGGAACAAGGGAGTGGAGAGTGGAGGGAAGGAGGAAAAAAGGGGGAAAAGAAACTAGAAGGAAGAGAGTGGAAATAAGGCTTTTGTAAATAAGGAGGGGACGAGGGGTTGAAGCGAGGGAGGGAAATGTGGGAAAAAAGAATAAAGATATATTATGTACAGATACAAGTTACCTGTGATGAATGAGGCCATTATGTATAGCAAAAGAGTACCAATAAAACTGACTTTACAAATAAAGCTGCTATCAACATTCACGTGAAAATTATGTGTGGACATAAGTTTTTATGTTCATCAGTAAATACCAGAGAGTGTGATTGCTGTGTTGCCTGGTGAGACTGTCTTCCAACATGGCCATAGCATTCTGCAGTCCCAAAAATAATGAATGGGAATTTCTGGCCCACTATGTCCTCAGTGGTACTAGTTGTTATTACTGTTTTGAATTTTAGCCATTCTAATGTGCACTGTGAAAATTCTTCATTTTAATTTGCAGTTCCCTAATGGCATATGGTATTGAGCATTTTTCATGTTTATTTGCTATTTGTCTTTTTCTATTTCTTTGCTTTGGTGAGATGACTGTTTAAATCATTTGCCCTCTTTTTAATTGGTTTATTTTCTTACAGAGTTTTAAGAATGTGTCTCATAGTTTGGGTTCAAGTCTTTTTTTTTTTCTTTAAACAACAATGTTTATTGGTACATCTTAGATATATATATATATGATCACATTCATCATAGAGAGTTTGTAACTGTACATTATATAACTTGATTATTTTTTCCTATTTCGCTACCATCTTCAACCCTTCCCGCTCCCCATTTACAAAAGCTTTGTTTCGATTTTATCCTTTTTTCCCTCATTTTTGTTTTTCCTTTTTCCTTTTTCCAATCTCCCCTCTTCATTCTCTCCGCACTGGAATATTTTCTTCCCATTTCACAATAC